GACAACGAACGGAAGCTTGGCTGAAGATTCCCTGAATGGCAAAGAGCTGCAATCACTGCACCATCTGCTCAAAGATAGAATATTGATGCGCATCAATGTCTGCCAACAGTAACCTTCACCCCCAACTTTAGCACAACCCTTAACCCTTGATCCTAAGACCCATATTACACATACATACATACATACATACATACATACATACATACATACATACATACATGTGTATATCTATATACATATATATATATATATACATATTTACTTGTTATATAGACCCTTACTGTATAGTCCTCTTAAAGGAGCCCTAAGCAAAACCCTTTTTTTTGAACCCCAGATTCTGCCTAAGTTAAAACCCTAAACCCTAAACTAAACCCTAGACCCTTAATCCTAGACCCTAAACTAAACCCTAGACCCTTAACCCTAGTCTCGTCAGCTCCAGAGACGGCTCGGGCCTTGAGCCGATCACGGGCCTTCCTAGGCTGAGAGCTTAGTCTTAGTTGCTTTTTGTTAGGGTTTAGGGTTTTAGGGTTTTAGGGTTTTAGAGTTTAGGGTTTTAGGGTTTTGGGTTTTAGGGTTTAGGGTTTAGGGTTTAGGGGTTTAGGGGTTTAGGGTTCCGGGTTTGCGGCTTTTTCCCCTCTTACCTACCTAGGACAAGACCCGCATTGAAGGAAAGGGGGCTTAAGGGAACTGCAGGGGGCTCCTTCAAGGGTACTACAAGGGTTCCGTTTAGCGTGGGGTCTGGGGTTAAGGGTTTTGGGTCTTAAGCTTCTTTAACACAGACTTGATGGGAGATCGCCCGGCCAAGTCCCCTCGCAGCACATCGCACTCGTGGCGAGATGAGCAAGACTAAGTACGCACAAACCCTCACGATCTTTAGGACCTTTTGAAACCCAGACTCTGCCAATCAGCTGGGAAGCATCACTTCCAGACTATTGCATCTGTGAAGTACCTAAGCCTAAACCAGGCCAGGGGCTAGAGACGACAAGTGTTTGTATATGGACCCATATTAAGGGCTCCTTTAAAGCAGCGTGGGGCTTTAGGATTTATGCAGGGCTTTGGGGTTTGGCTGTTGGGGTTTTATGTCCGAGGTGTTTGGTTTCTGTTGTCTCCGACTGAGTGTCGAGGGCTTTGGGTTGAAGGATTTAGGGTTTCGCGTGCAAGATTCCATGGAGCTTAAGGACTTTGTGACTTACAAGGCTTCATGGGTTTTAGATCTTTGAGTTTTAGGGTCGATGCCGATGTGCTGAGAATTTCAAGGATTTCAGGATCTCAGATGCAGGATTTGGAGTTCGTTCTTCCCGCGGCTTGCAGCGGCGCGTTTTGGAATCTAGGGCGGAGACGGATTGCTACGAGCGCTGACTTGCAAGCTTTTCAGGCTCCCAATAGCTATTACTAGTGTTAAGTTTATGATTATTATCAGTTGGCACATTATTGCTATGACGAATATTCGCAATGCTGCCCCTCGGTCTAAATGCATCCTAGTCTCCCCACAGTGGCGAAAGGCACGCCCCAGCCGTTGCGTGAAGCGGGGTCCACCCCACCGATGGCACCGCCAGCTCCTCGATCCGAGCGAGCTGGCGGTGGTTTAGGGCTTAGGGTTTAGGGGTTTAGGGGTTTAGGGGTTTAGGGCGTTAGGGGTTTAGGGTTTAGGGTTTAGGGTTTTAGGGGTTTAGGGGTTTAGGGTTTAGGGTTTAGGG